GTGTTATGCTCTAAGTCCAATCAATTTTGGACTTAAATATTTTTAATATATAGTTAATGCAATTTTATGGCAGGTCTATTATTTAATTAATATTCAATTAAATTAAATAATAGAGTTCGTAGATTCAAATTTTGATAATTTGTTAATCACAATGAGTTGTAATTGTGAGATACAAATTACATATGATTGAATCTTAAATCGTTTGTAGTCGTAAGTAATAAAAAGATACGGATATCGTTATTACGGATAGACCATCACGTATAGTATTTCTTACTTGTGAAGTAAGTAGCTGATCTCACAAACTAAAGTGTGGTGACACTTGAATGAACACGTGGATGTTTTATTATAGAACAAAACATTGGAGACGCACCGAGAGATTTCACATGGATAACTATTTGAGAGTCAGTGGTTAATCTCTAACGTTCGGTAGTGAAATTGGTCATTTGACTTGAGGTCGTCAGAGTGCCTTATATGAGGGCAGTCATACTTTGACGGTATTGGATGTTGCTCCGCCAAGACCTGCTAATACAGCATTGCTCGGGTATGTCAAGAATCGTATGAAGATTGTAAATGATCAATAGAGGATTCATTACTCTTAGATAGTAAGAAATTATGATCTGCACTTCATTCAATTAAGTCGATAACGAAATCTTTGACCAAGGTGTGCTTATAAGTCGAAAAGGACTTTTCGACTTATATTGACTTAATAGTGGAGTGAAAGATATGATCGATAATCGAAATTGGCACACTTCCATATCTCGTAATTGATCCAATCATACTAACGAAGGGATTATAATTTCACGGTCAACAAACAAGTTTGATTTGTCATACCACGTGATATTTCCCGTCACGTGTATTGTCCTAACACATTGTTAGATGTCAATCTGGGACGACGATTGTGAATTTGTGATAAATTAAAAGGGTGTTTTACCTTATCAATTTTGATTAGATTAAAATAATATTTTACATTGTTAGACATTGTTATCAAGAACCTGATGGATCGCACAAAAAAAGGAGAACTGGAAGATTGTGATTTGTCAATTAATTAATTTAACAAGCGTTGGATAAATTAAATAATTGGATTGCTTATTTACAGGCCTGAATTAACTAATTGGATTAATTAATTCACGGACCGAATTTAATTAAATGGGTTAATGAAATATTGAATTGGGTCAGGCTAAACCCGTTCGGGTTATATAAATATGACTAGGATTTTCAATATCTGTAGAGAAATCATTATTCTTACTAGTACAAGAAGAAAATCATAATCCTACAATCTTTTTTCTATGTGGATCACCGTTGGAAATTGGACAGTTGGACAGTTATGGAAGACAGATCAAGGTTACTGAGCAAATAAAAAGCAAAAGGGTTTCCATATTGAGAAAAATATATGACTTTTATCATAATTTCTATCTAAACATAAAGATGAATCTTGGTGGGAATTGAAAATTGTTTTATTTTTCGCTGAGCATGATTAGCAGATTCCCAACAATCAGAAGGTCCAAACTTGGGAACAAAGGTAGCTAGGGATGGCAATTTGGCTCATCGACTCGGACTGCTCGTGGTATGACTTGAAAAAGCCCGAGTTGACTTGACCTGGCTTGGGCAAGCTGATAAAAAAAAGCTACAAAAGGCAGCTTGTTACTAGCTTAAAAATAAGGCAGCAACACACTACCTTTTGCAGGCTGCTGCTACCTGCAATGCTACTTAGTATAGGGCTCGAGCCAAAAGCTCGATTTGATAAGGTTGGAGCCGAAAGCTTGGTTGAGCCTAGATTTTTTTCTCAGCTCGGTTGGGCTCGAAAAAAGTCCGCACCATTTTACTCGAGTCAAGCCCGAGCCTTGAGTTTAGACTCGCGAGTTGGCTCGACTTGGCTCATTAACATCCCTAGGGATAGCAACAGTCTGTTCCTTCACAAATTTGTGAAGGAACTCGATATCAATGTCGAGCCTCTGCTTCTCTATAAAGTTGATGACCCCTCCTAAGCGTACCCCATAAATCTTTTGCTCTAGTGCCTTGAAAGTCGGAGAAGCCTACCAATCCTAAATTGTCCTCTCTACATGGGCTTTCTCCATTTCAAGCTCAAGGAACTCGATATCAATGTCGAGCCTCTGCTTCTCTATAAAGTTGATGACCCCTCCTAAGCGTACCCCATAAATCTTTTGCTCTAGTGCCTTGAAAGTCGGAGAAGCCTACCAATCCTAAATTGTCCTCTCTACATGGGCTTTCTCCATTTCAAGCTCAACCCCAGCATTCTCTTATCTAAGCTTTACTCTCCTACTTGGCCTGGAGATAATCCTGCAGAGCTCTCATATGAATATCCTCTTTCCAATTTTTCTTTCCTCTACATGGAGGCTCATTTTCAACTCCATGTTTAGAAGATCACTTCAGTCTTCTTTTTAGTATATTGGAGGATGGCATGACCTTAGAGTCTACATTATCGTTCACTTTACAATATAGATCATGACGCGATTGGTATAGATGAAGATAGACATGCAAGCCTTGGATTCACCATGTCCTTCGAGTAATGTTGTTGAACCCCCTAGCCCAGTTCAAGATATATGTCTCCTGTATGGGTTGGGCCACGTTTTCAACAAGCGATAGCATAGTAGATATGGGACGGGTTTAAAAATCTCTTGGACATTCGAGATGGGCTTCTCTCTTTTACAATGAAGAGAATGCTTCACAGATTCCTTCTCACCACTATCCCAAGAATGTAATTTACATTCGTTTGAACTTATACTTACTCAAAAAAATGAGGAATTTGCAGAAGAAAAAGGTAGGGAAAAGAATAAGGTAATGCGAACATGAAGAGGGAAAACTTGGAAAACTCTAACTAGGCAATCTTAGGCTGTTATATGAAAATCTTCAAAAAATGAGAAAATTAAAGAAAGTTGGGGAGCAAAAGTGAAGAAATAGTAGAAAAGTCACAGATATTGAAAGGCAAGGAAGAAGAATGGACGTCGTCCAGACCATCCATTACAAGGGAGAGAATCTTAAATATATCAAATCAAGGCTCAAATCAAAACCACCAAAATTATGCTTTACTGAAGAATCTTGCACTGGAAGCTTCATTGGTCTTGGTTCCCAACTCCATCATTAATTTTCAACACGTGTTGTTCATGCACAACCAACAAGAACAACTGTCTCCAACTAATCTACCATCTTTACTGTTATATAATAAACAAACTAAATCAATCAATCAAGATAAAATTTTGAGCCGTGCTACAACAACCGACCCCTTGACATAACGACTGACAGAAAACACACAAACAAGAGGGCCGGTATTTTTTTATTCCATGCGAGACCCGCAGCTTTGGGAGAGCAGGTCATCCCTTCTGGCAAGGAAATTCGGTCACTCCAACAAAATTCTAAAATTTTACTTTGGACAAACTTTATGTTACAATATTCTACAATCATTTTTGTATGCATGAAAGACAATGGAAATAGAAATGGAGGTATATATATAAATAAATAAATAAACACAACGATAAGTTGAAATTATTTAACTTGCCAAGTTATAAATGATATATAAATAAAAATATTAAAGAAAATCCATCAAATGTGGTAACATTAAAGTGTGGTTGAAATTAATATTTAATTTTAACTAAATTTATAAAATGATGGCTTAATGTTTGTGCTGATGAAATTGTTAAAAAAAATGCAAGGGCAATGAAATCTCAATGAAAACCTGCGAATACGAAGTTGACATCTATTGATGAAAATCAACTATCCAAATTGCAATTCACCAATGATTCATTGTCACATCATTTGACTCGTATTTTAAGTCTAAGTGGCAGTGAGAAAAAAGTTGAGCATGTTAATTTCAAGTGATGGATCAATAAATCATTGGATGAACAATATTTTGAACAGTCAATTTTAGACTACAGATCTCAACTCTTATTTACATCCCTTTCATTTATGTTAAAAAAAATCTCTCTTCAATAATAAATCCAAGAAAGATTCATAAAAAGCCATTGGTTGCTTGAAGAAATATTTGCTTGCGAAATATTAGGGAGAGCTTTTAGAGATATCAAATGTTGGAACTCGACAGTCCTTGTTAAAACTCTTTAGAACATTCATAGAAAGGACACTCTTTGAGTAAAGTGGGCAAATCATTTTTTTCTTCTTGGGATTGATATTTGGGAATACACTGTGAAGAAAGAGGATTCTTCGCTGTTTAAAAGGTTGTTGGAAATTCATGACCAGATTATATTGCCTGAACAAATTGTTCAGGCTGCAAGGGCCAGGCTATCGAATTGGACAACTTCAGGTAGCATCAATGCCACAATCGCATATGATTTTTCAGACCGAAGGGGATGAAGGCAGATTAAGCAACAACTGTTTGGAATGCTTTCGTTACTCCTAAGCATGTATTTATAGAGGTATTTCCAAATTCTTAACTAAGGAAAAATTTAGGCATTAAAGATAGACCAAAATTGCAGTTTTTGTGGAGCTACGATGGAGATGGAACATAATCTATTTTTCACTGGTCAATTTAGTGCACATGTTTGGTAAAAGATATGTGCATGGCTTGACATTAGACATTTTATGTCTACGATCCCTAGTACATTGAAGTGGATTAAAAAAAGAGACTCGGAAAATGACTTAGCATAGTAAAACTAAGAGAATTGCTTTTGTTAGCACCATTTTCCACTTATGGACAGTATGGAACAATTAAATTTTTGAGGATCTTAGACAGCATGTAAATAATATTGTTAGACAGATTAAAACATTAGTATGCAAAGTTATATTTTCTTTGTTATCGTATATTTTGATTCACTTGAGTCTATGGCATTAGAACACTAAATTTTCTCGTTTGTACATCGTTTCTTTTGTTGCCCGTGTACTTATTTATGTACTTGATCTTTGCTTGCCCGTAATACTTGTATTTGTACTCAATCTTTGATTGTCCTAATATGCTTAATGCTTCATGATTTTTGACATTTGCCGATTAAAAAAAAGGGGGATTCATGAAAATCTAGAACAATTGGATGCTACTTGACCGTAATTTCCTTCATCATTAAGCAACGTCTCAAATTTCCCATTATTATAGTATTTTCAGCCACTCATTTTCTTAGTCCTACCTTCTACAGATCACTCGTCAATTTCCCTTGTATTTTTACCTTGCAATTTTAATGTTTCCGTAATAAATTCATTCTAGGTTTCTCATTAAATTGAGGAACTTTTTGCATTTGCCTTTTTAAGAAAATATTTTTTTTTCTTGAAGAATGGGGCAGAAGCAATCGAAAGACGAATTGTTGTATCAGCAAGTGAATTACGGAAACATTGATGGCATTAAATCGCTTCGAAGTGAAGGCGCTGGGCTTGAGGTATCCCCTCAAGAATCTTGACCTAAAAGTCTAATTTATATTTTTCAGGGGTGGGTTCGTGGATGCTTTAGATATAATTGTTAATTCTTGTTATTTCTGTTTCTATTGGAAGAATTTATCATTTTCAGTTGATGCACGGTTCATTTTCTTTGAATTTTTGGTGAAAGACTCGTGGTATATGTTGAGACAGACTTGCACATATAATTTGCAGGGTTTTTGTGATTTGCTGTTGTTAAATTAGTCATAGAAGATATGCTTTTTTTGATTGGATTAACTTTTTATTTTTTCCGTTGGCTTTCAAGTTTTGTGCAATTATTTGGTAGAGCAAAATGCAGACAATAGTAATTTTAAGATAAGAATTGTATGTGTAAGTGTATGTGTATGTGTATGCCAGTTCAATTCTTTTTAAGTGTTAAATGGTAATGTAAGTAGTGGTGCCGGAGTTACTGTATAGAGCAGTATCAATTTTATAGTATAATGTTAAAGCTGCCTGTACAATATACTTTTATGCACCAAGATTTTTGATGTGTGCTAATGTGGTGTTTGTGATGGCAGTGGATTGATAGTGAGTGGAAGACTCCACTTATTGTCGCTTGTATGAATCCAGGGCTTTACAATGTTGCGAAAACTTTGATTGAACTTGGTGCCAATGTCAATGCTTACCGTCCAGGTACGCAAATATGGTGCTTTCTGATTTTGATAGTTCATGTTTCATAATTTCCAGCTCAACACGAGTCTTTCTTTATTAAGCAAAATTAGAAGAGGAAGGAAAGGAAAGAAAATTTAGATCGAAGACTGTTATGATAGAATTGTTTTGTTCTGTTACCCTGTAATTGTAGAAATGCTTATGAAATTAGGTTGCTGCAGTGGGGTTTATAATGATCTTAGGTATTTGTAATAATACTAACATGTAAAATGGGATAGAGGTATATTTAGATCCTGAAGGGGAACGAACCGCTTGCTTGTGTTAAGATTTTTTGTTTTTCATTTCGATTTTAGTTTTCCCTTCAAAATTTGGGTTGAGTTTGTCATTTCATTTACATTCTTGATTATTTTGGGTGTTTCTTTTTCTACAAATTGAAATTTGCTGCAGCCCCTCTCATTTTTATGTGCATCATTAACTATAATCACCAATCTAAGCATTTTCTAGTTTATGTTCTCTTAGTTTTTCTTTATTTCTGCTTTAATCCACTTCATAAGTTTTTTTTTTTCCCTGAAGGTCGCCATGCAGGGACTCCTTTACATCATGCTGCAAAAAGAGGCCTTGATCAGACTGTGAAGTTGCTTCTTTCACATGGAGGTGTGTATACAATTTCTGTCTATTGTTGCACTCTCCATAATTTAGGTCATGATGTTCCAGTGGCAAATAGGATCTTGTGTATACCATCAATATTTGTCAAATCTATAATTTCTGGTTCAAATTTCAGCAAATGTGTTAATGATAAATGATGATTGCCAAACTCCACTTGAGATTGCCAGAGGCAAAGGGTACAGCAATGTTGTTCGCACTATAGAGGTACTTTTTCTCTTCTTACCATCATTTTAACGCATCAGTTCTGATTTATAAATGCTTTACATGGAGATCATGCAAGGAATGACCTTTTCCTATTATGCTTATTAGGGACATGTGTGCTTATTCTCTGGCTGGTTGCGAGAGCTTTATGGGCCCGGCTTTCTTGAACTTCTTGCTCCTCAATTGCTTTCAAGAAAAGTGTGGGTATTCCATGTTCATGGTCCCCATTCTCAATATAGCAACTTGTTTCTTGAGTTTCAGTTCCTTTTATCTTGTTTATTCATTTTGTATCTGTGTTGTCATTCTCCTTTTCTTAACATTATTTTACTCTATGATTACAAGAAGGTCTTGTTAATACTGTGCAGTTGGGTTGTTGTTTTACCTTGTGGTTCTCGAAATCTTAAAAAGCCTTTTAAGTTGGAGCTTGCTATATATGCCAGTGCACAGGTACTTTTATGTCTGTCTTCATTTGAAGCTCAAATGAAATTATTTTAGCTTTGCCATCTCTGTCAAATTTGTAATTAGTATCATTCTAGCATTTTCATCGCACTGCTTGTAGATGTAGTCTGCTTACAGTTTGACCCTGGTTTTATCTAGATATTTCTCTTTCAAATATCTTCGCATAAGTCATCTCTCTCTCTTTACGCTACCTGTTTTCAAGTACTGAGCAATATCTCTATTTAATCTCTTTTCTTTATCACACACACACAGAGGGAGAGAGAAATGTCGGGGCTTTATTGCTGTATGTTCACACAGGATCAAATTCTGCCTTTCTTTTCTTTGTATTCACATCTACCAGATTGTCCCCTTTTTTAACTCGTATATGTTGTACGATCAGGATGCCCAACCACGATTAATTATTCCGCTGTGGAAGGCCAATCTAGAGGAACCGAACTTCAATCTGACTGATCCAGCAGCTATCGTGTCTGATATTGCAAGCAGTAATTTCTCTACTTAACTTTCATTTTTTAATATACCATTTTCTGGGTTCATGGGTATAGGTGATCAACTTTTTATCTTTATGCATAGTCCCGAGATGCTGGAGGCAAAGGCGAGGTATTAAGACCTCCTAACAGGGAAGGAGTAAGTATATTGAGTTTTGAACTAGCTAAATGAAACTAGAATGAGGAGTTTAGGGGAGCACAAGATATTAAACTTTAAAAGTGATTCTTTTTAATTTTCATTAAATTTCTGTCTTTGATAGTTAGGTATGGAGAATTCATATCTTAAAGTTGCATTGTAAGTGGTGCTTCTCTATGTGGGCCGTTGGTTGGTGGGGGTGGGGGGAAAGATGCCCTGGACATGGAGAGCAAGATAAAATGTTTTCTAAAAGTTGTCACAGATGTAATGTGACATGGCAAATTGAATCCTTATAGGTAGATGTAAACTATGCTTCCGTTTGACATCCGATGATATTCTTTAGTTCAACTATAGGCATATGGAATTTTAAGCCTCAATTGATGTCCAATGGGATCTGATACAGGAATGGTTTAAACTGATTCTAATCGTGCAACTATTTTATGCTCTGATGATAAAATTGTATCCTGAACTACATTTTAGAGCATGTTTGACTAAGCTTAAAAATTAGTAAAAATTTACTTGAGTAACTATTTACACACACATGTTTTGATAAACTACATTTTGTAAGTATCTTTTAGCTTACCGTCGAAATAAGTAACTTGATTTTAAATTTTGATTACTTATAAATAAACGAATTTAAACCTAGCCAAACATGCTCTTGATCTAAAACAGTACCGATACAGAATATTCTTCCCAATATTTACTTCTATGGTTGATAATGATAGGAGGAGAAATGGTGATGTTCCATTATATGTACAGATGAAGAGACTTGTACTATAATTTGATAGTTACTTCCAGCATTTAACTGTGCAACCCATGAGCTACTCTTTGTTTTCTTCCTTTGCAGAGACACGAGTTAAACTTGCACATGCCAATGAAAGTGACAAACAGCAATTGCAGCGTTTCTGCAATGCATGCAAAGGAATTCCTCAGGTGGAATACACATTTTCTGCTAATTTTACTTTTGCACCCACTAGTGCTTCAAGCACCAAAAGGCATGCATACATTTTTATAATGCAAGAGCCTCAGTTGTTAACCACCATCAAAATCTCTTATTGACATCTTGAAAAAGTTTACTTTTCCCATATTTTTATGTACCAAGTCATTCAATCGGCAAGTTTGTCACTGCAGAAAAGCTACAGGACGATAATTTTAGAATTGCATTATACACCTGTTTATGTGTGTGTAGCTGGCATTGTTTTTCGTGTTCTCTTTTCTTTTTCTTTTTTTTTTAATCTGTGGATGAGAGACATTTTACCCTTTTTGTGGTAGAGGTGGGTGTGGGAAACGATAGAAAGAGGAATTGATAATGCCTAACAATTCTTTCCAGTATTTAGAGCTTGAAATTTTGAAACTTCAGGTGACACACTCAACCTTTCCTGTCAATACCCAAGTGCCTGCTGTTCAAGCAACTGCACCGCCAGCTTCAGAAGATGAAGAAGTAGCCATGGCAATCAATGCCTCCCTCCAGGCTGCTGCACACGAAGGACCACCAGTTATCGATTCTCATCCAGTTGCATCCACAAGTTCGGCCAACACTATAGATAGCTCGAATCCGGGGAATAGTGACATTTGGGGGGCATCTATCACCCACAAGGGAAGTGATGAGACTCTTCAGAAAGAAGGTCCAAGTGGCTGCCAAGCTCAGCATATACCAACACAAAATATCATTCCATCTGTTGTCCAATCAACTCTCAAAAACCCATCCACCGTCTCTGTCCCATCAGCTCCACCCGTTGCAGATGCAGTTCCTGACGATGGCCCGATCCACTATCCATCAATTGATTCGAGCCCTGTTGATTTGTCTTCTGACGCTGTAGATGCCTTGCTTGCTAGTCTTGACGGGAAGATAGAAGATAATGCTGCTTCATCTTGTACAATATGCCTGGACGCTCCAGTTGAGGGAGCTTGTGTCCCATGTGGCCACATGGCTGGATGCATGTCATGTTTGAACGAAATCAAGGCCAAGAAGTGGGGTTGCCCTGTATGTCGTGCCAATATTGATCAGGTGATACGAATATATGCTGTTTAATTGTTGGAGGAGATGAAGCTGTTACTGGTGAGTTCAGTACACCTCTAACTAGTCTTTAACTTTTTATTGCATATACATGTTAGGTATACATCTCAGATTGTGCTTCTGACCTGAAGTTTGATCTGAGTTCCTTGCTAGCCTCTAGTTCACCTTAACCAACTTACACTTCTCTCGAGTTGAATTAACCACTTGCTATGAGTTGTGGAGCTTCAATTCTTTTGCTTGATCGAATCCTGATTGAACTTGAACTAGTTTCTCTTATATTTTTATAGTGAAAAAGTCTCGTTCCATCACATCCATTAATATTCAAAAAAATGTTCATGATATTAATTCTTTTGTTTTTCCCCTGCAGATTGTAAATTATATCAAGTGCCAAGAGCAGATGGCCAACTGCAATATAGTATCCTAATCTGTAGCATAATATGAGAAAACACTTGGAATTGAACTTGTTTAACGTTTGGAATCAGTATCATGATCTTTCCTTGAGATGGTACAATGCCAGTGATATGATTTGGTTTATAAAATAATGTGTTAAACAATAAATATTAAAGCTTGTGTGCAGATTGAAGTTTTTAAAAAATGAAAAAAGGGAAGAAGAAGAAGAAAAAATTCGATTCTTAACTGATCGAGTCCTTCGTTAACAAATGAATATATAGACATGATTGAAAGCAAAACTTTAAAATTTACATAGCTTTCATTTCATTATTAAGATTACTTAGAACTATCTTAAAATTCTCGAATCTAATTTTCTCTACAAGCTATAGGCTGCTTGTTTACTATGACTAGAAGGTATAATGTGGACCTTTTTTGGATCTTGTGAGGCATTTCTTCATGTTAAATTATGAGATAAACTCATATTTAAAGATTAGTTTAACATTAAACCACATCATTGTTGCTTTATCAAAAGGTGATCTCTCTTTGGCACAAATTTTATTCGATTTGTTTCCTAATGGAATAATTTCAAGTCATTTGGAAGTAGACTTCTATTGAATCTTCCCATTTAAATACTTTTGACTTTTATTTTCTTCGTTTACATTGTATAAGGATGTGTTTGATTGCGAGTATGAAATTTACAAAGAAATAAAATTTATCTTAGGAATTTGAGAACTTATTTGTATAAAAAATGTGTTTGATTCATTTGTTTCCAATCTTGAAAATATTATACTTGTCTATTTTTAATTGGTAGATAAAAAAGAGATGGATAGAAGAGAGAGTGATTCACCTCTCTAAAGAAAATATTTTTCTTGTTTTTAAGGAAAATATAATTACATGAAAAAAAGTTGAAAAATAATTTTCATAAAAAAAAATTGTCAATCAAATATTCCAAAAGTAGGAAATTATGTGGAAAAAATGACATTTTTCATGAAAAATAAAATTAATCAAACACATTCTATGTAACGTAAAGTGATAAAAAAAAATTAGATCATAAGTAAATTTAACTTATATGTTTACGCTTAAGGTGAATGTGATGTTGATTAGTTAAATGATAATTAAAACATCAGTGATAATTGAGTCTTACATTAATACTCTTATCATTTCCTTTTTGCTTTTTTACCCTATAAGTGAAGGAAAATCAAATTTAGTGTCGGTTGTGTAATTTTGGGGGCCGAGACGAACTTCATAAATTAGCCCCCCCCCCCCCCCCCCCCCCCCCCCCCCCCCCTCTCTTTTTTTTAATTTAATATAAAAA